AAGTGCCCGTACGTAAGAACCACGCATACCTCAAGGCTGAATTTGAAATACTTAAGTTGTACTTGGGCAGGGAACATTTCCTCAAAATTTCAGCTTTCCAGCTTATCTGGTTACCGAGTTAGCAATTTTCCCTCCAAAACCTTCACATGCCCGTACTTGGGTACTCCACGCGCTTGGAAACCTGAATTTGAAATTTTTAAATTGCACGTGGGCAGAGAACATCAGCCTAAAATTTCAGCTTTCCAGCTCTTCTGGTTGCCGAGTTAGTGATTTTCCCGCCGAAACTTTGATACGCCCTTACATGAGTACCACGCACAGCTTGGGGCTGAATTTGAAATCTTTAGCTAGTACATGCACAGGGAATATCTCTACAATGTTTCAGCCCCTTAGCTTATGTAGTTCTCGAGATCGCTTTCTCCGCCAAAAAATTTGCATATTTTTTAAAGCGTCCGCACGCGGCACCTAGGCGTCCGAGGGCACGAAATTAAAACGGGGGGTCGCGCATGTTTTGGGCACATATTCTCTAAGTTTCAGCCTTTTAGCTTTTCTGGTTCTCGAGTTGAAAGTGGGTGACAAAAAGTGCGGACACACGCACAGGCAGCCTCTTCCCAATATGCGTTTTTGCAATTTGCATGTATGCAAAAATGCATAAAAAGGAACGCTGATTCGTAACTGAAGTAACAATCTCAGCATTATCTTCTAACTATCAAGGACCATTTGAGACTTCGGTCTCAACAGATTTTTACTTGAACGGAAGGAAGTGGAATTTTTGGACAAAGTAATTCGTTTTCTGGATTTTCAGGAACCAATTAATCCATGTGATGAGAATCCTTGTGGTGATGGTAGCTTATCGTGTTCACCTTTAACATTTGGACATCACGGCGAATACGAGTGTGAATGCGCAGCAGGTTGGACAGGTATTAAAATGAGATTTAAACTTCGATTTTAGGGCACCTAACCTGGGTTTTCTGGAACGCAGCTTTGCTCCTTGAGCTCTGAAATTAGGGTGAATTTGAATCATTGTTCATCAGCGCAGGACTCACTGGTCGAGAGAGCCATGAAGTGATTTCTGGTTCTTGCTCCCTAGTCTTCATAATTGTGCACATGAGTTATGTATACACACACATGCACACATACACATACACAAACACGCACACACAATACACCCAATTTCGTTTTTGTCCACCTAACTCATTTATGCGAAAATGCATAAAAATAAATTTTAAATTTGAATCTGGGGTCGTAAATCACCAGCACCGCACTTTGCTGAATCTCCAATACTGTATACTCTCAGGTGCTGCCCACTGAAAAGTTTTTCTTTTCTTTTTTTCATTTCACAGCACTTTTCCGGTCTTTCTTTTGGTTTCTTCTTCTGCTCCCTACACTAGCGCTTGCCACTCTGGTATTTTTAAAGGGAAACGTTGTGTGGAACTGGTGGACATATGCGTCAACTCATACTGTGCAGAAGGTTCCACGTGTATTATCCGATCGGGACCAGGGACACAAGTTGACTACGTATGTATTTGTCCTGCGAGTAAGACCGGTGTATTTTGCAACATGTCTGTTGACTATTGCAAACCGATGAATCCATGTTTGAACAGTGGCATCTGCCAAACAGCCGATGATGGTTACATTTGTCACTGTAAAGCAGGTATGTTGGAAAGTATATTCATTTCTGGAGTTGATTCCTGCGGATACGATTCGAAAGAAACGTTCGCGCATTTTCAGATTGCGGGATTCAGTAGTTACCCAGCAATCTATAAAGTAAATAAATAGAGCAGTTTATTTAAAATTCATTTTTTTAAAAATAAGATTCAAAAAATGAAAAATGTTGGTATAATGACTTTGGCATGATTCATTCGAGCTCGGAATTCAGAATATTTAACTGTGTTTCCGGAGTAGCAAAATTACACAGTTTTTTTTTTCAGTTTTTCAAGATACTGAAGACAAAATTCTTAGCGTTCGCTTTGGAAATTTGTTGTTTTCGTGCCTAGAATTAGCTACATTTTCAGGTCATAACAAAGAGCACTCTTTGTTTTAGGCTATTAAAGAGGATGTCAATCTTTAGGGCTAGAAAACTATTTTTTAGTCTGCTATGGATTTTCCGGGACTTACAATTTTTAGGTTACAGTGGCAGTCATTGTGAAGACATCAACAATCCTTGCCAGCCAAATCCCTGCCAGAATAATGGCAGATGCACAGTTCTGTCGAGTACGAAGTATCAGTGTGTTTGTAGTCCATTTTATACTGGCGTTAACTGTACAGATGTCACAGTGAGTTAACTGCATTTATTCAATTACTCCGCCTCTTCCACTAGTCATCCTTAAACACTATATCAGGATTGAATCAGAAGTGAAAATGAAGTTAAATTTAGTCTACTAAATTTATCTGAACTTCGATGATTAAACACATCTTGATTGCCATACTGTGCAAATCGCATTGATTGCCGTACTGTACAAATCGCTTTAAGCGATATATACGCGACACAGAGACTACAAGACAAATCTCACTGTTCTGTACAGGAGCACGTACATGCATGTTTACCATAATCAAATTTTTGTTTCAGGACATTTGTGAGGCATACGGTTTTAAAGAGTTCTGCTTAAATAATGGTTCATGCTTACCAAGCGATTCAGGACCAATATGCCGCTGTTCCCGCGAATTTTTTGGCCGAAGATGCGAAAAAAGTACACTAATTTAATAATTTATCTATATTTCTTACTGATAGTAGAAGCGGAAAAACCTGCATTAAAGAGAAGTTTTGCTCTGTTGTCTCAGTTACTTTTGTATTGCTTCTCCGGCCCTCTTCATCTGGTTTTGCTCTCTGCTATTTTATTAATGTTTGCATGAAAACGCGCTATAACGTAGTAATGTGTGTCTTGCACGGGTGCGTGTGTATGCGTCCTGTACCCGTGCACTTCAACTACGAACTTTTAAAAGCTATAAGGCTAGAATTATGGAAGTGTGGCCCTTTATTCTGTGAAGGACCAGGGATGTAATATCAACCTTCAAGTTAATCTGTATTTTAACGTAAAAGCGTGTGCAGTTTTGGTTCTCTAGGCACATCGGCACAATCGCAGCATGCGACGTGATATGTCACGTGTCCTTTCCTTAACCGTCTGCAATAGAGATTCGTCTTCAGAATTCGTGTTCTAGCAGCTCATATCCGATTCGTGCGAGTAACTATATATTTGCCAGTTTAGTAGTAATGCTGATTTTGTCTGCAGCTTTTCCTTTTCGGGATTTTCAAAGAAAGCTAGATGGACCCTAATGCCTCAGTGCTGTAAGCTTGGTTTGCTGGGTGACCTTTTGTCAGAGACAGACGAAGTTTTCTTGAGAAGAGGCGTAACGCTGTGCCATTAAGCTGCTTTTCTCTAACTGCACTCGTAAGCAAAAATACTGATTTAGACCTCAGCAGTGAATTGAAAGGTCATATGCAAATGCACTGCATTACTTGTCTGCATGTCCTGAATAATTTAGAGCGTAAACGTATGGTCAAGCTCACTTTCTTGTTTATTGCTTTTCTTTTTGTGTTGCATCCCAGCTGGTCTAGTAATCGTTATAATTGCCATTATCAGTCGTTTGCAGAAAAAAGTTTCGACTTTAATGTTATGTTCGATGGGCAGCGGCGACACGAAGTAAAATCAATTCTGTTCCCCTCTACTATTTTAAAAGGATTCACGCTATGTTTTTGGATTAGAATACTGCCAATACGACGCGAAAGTTCACTGGCGCAAATGGCCCCGTTTCTTGAATTTGTGTCTGAAAATGGGTTTGTTGTTATCAAATGCTTATCAAGCACATCATTTATAAACAAGGAGTAGTCCGTTTCCTGGTACTGTGTTCTGCCCTACGTCCCCTGATGTAAGTCTAGTTTGAGCGCCTATTATGCTAAATGTAGTTACTTTAGCTAAATTTCTGTCAGTTGTTTTTTTTTTTGGCTCATTGTACTGAATGCCAGTATAAAAATCACAACACAAGCATTCCCCCGTTACTTCGGAGGAAGCTAGCCTTTTTCTTCTGAAAGGCAAGAAGGTTAAAATGCATATAGTTTCTGAGACCTTGATATCTTCAGAACAACCCCGCTGTCTTAACATTTTTGTTTGTGAGATGTATGACAATAAAAACGCTTGTCCTTCTTTTTTTGAACTATTGCAGGTTCAGTGAGAACATACTGACAGTTTCGCCGGATGAGGTAAAATTTGGACGACATAGGGAAGTGGCTGATATTGTCGAAAATGAGTGGCAACAGGCAAATCATTTAAAGTTAATTTTGTCCAGCTTCAAAATACGAATGTATTAATGCAAACCAGCTTGATTCCGAATTGGACACTGGTTTTTGCACATTTTCTCCGATATATTAGAAAATTTTTCTGGTTGATATATCTAAACCAAAGGCTAAATTTTTACAGTTCTGTTTACGATCATATGAAGACACTTTGAGCTGGATACGAAATGGAGTACTTGACTGGAGCAAAGACTGGTCAGTACCGCCGGTCACGGGATATTTACGGATTTTGCTGGGGGGCAGTGTAGCTGTCCCACACTCGTTTGCGGGCCTGCTTAGTATGGTCCAGGTTTGTTTTTCAGCACTATATCTACATAACTGTTCAAAGCATGCTTGCTGTTCAGTTTCATTTAACTTTCAGAGTATAGATTTTTTTTCACCTTGCGCGTGTTTTTAGCTATACAATGGATCTGTTAGCAACGTGAGGATATCCGAGATGGCTCATCAGTGTCGGTCCTGGTTGCAGTCACTTGTATCCTCCGATGAAATCCCGGTGGTAGAATGGGACCAGTTCACCGGTGTTGAACGCTGGAACCGCGTTTTCCCGGGAATTTGCACTGTATCTGAATGCTTGCTAAATAATCAACACTGCAGTGCGGAAATTGGTAGGCTTCCTAGTTTGCTAGTGGTGAATTGGCACCATGCCATGGCAGATTAGTGACCGGCAAAAGCAGTCCACCAAAACGCATCTGATACGAGAGGCGAAAGCAGCAAGAACCCAGTTTTTAAAAAAATTTTCAGCTTAGTTATGACATGTCCCAGATTAGAAATCCCATTTCCACGACAAATGCCTCTCTAGCTTTTACTCCTTCTTTAACACCTTCTTAATGGATGGCTATTGCTAGTTATGTTAGTAAGGATTGAGCATGAAATACACGAGCATCGTGTCACAGCATATGTTACTTCGAAAGCGAATGTTTCCACTAGCCGTACCAAATGCTATTTCAGACAAACTACCTCCACAAGTAGTCAGTTGTCCGACAGACATTTACCTGTTGTCAACTGAAAGGTTGACGCCAGTGACGTGGTCTCCATCAAACGTGACTGAAATGTTTGTCGATAACGGCACCGTTGAGATGACATCAAATTTTAACAGTGGCGATGTCTTCACTTGGTAAGTTATTGGTCCATTAAAAATTATAATCGAAGCTTTAGTCTGCTCAAACAGCATCTGAGAGCTTTTGATGAACTAATTCAGAAATCAGTGAGAGTCCCTCAGCGTTCTTCATTTTAACGAGAGAGCCAGATGAAATCAGCAAGACGGTAGTTGTTGAAAAACCCAGGCTGGAATGCATCAGGCGAGCCGGAGCGGTCATGCATTTTTGCACAAAACTTGAATTGGGTTAAGGTTAATTAGGAATTGTTTCTTCACGCCTACCTTGTGTGCTTATTGCCGAAAATCATCGTAAATTTTGCATAAAAAGAAATAATCTATTTTC